AAGCAATGTTTAGCTTCACCATTCTTTTCTAAATGATTATAAAAAAAATGGTGCACACCACCGTCACTGCTTGGTTGGGAATAGAGCTTTGGTGGCTTTATAGTAATCCCCGCTGTTACTACCTACGCTTTACGAATCGAAATAAACAATATGTTATTATTTATTATAATTAGTGGGACAGTAATGGCTACTAATGGATCCACTAAATCATTCGGGAGTGCATAAATACGTTAATATGCTATTTATTAATCGTCACTGTGTTTATAACGCTAATAATTTCGTGTATTTTCTTGTTTGCTAAAGGATGTTACCGTTAAATCTTCTATATAATTATTTTAAGCAACAATTGTTACATTTCCACATTGAACATGTAAATGATAAATATATTATAATTTAACACCCTATTCAATTTAATATTAACGCGCAGTTTTACTCAAAGAATATTTATTTGATCAATGTAACTATTCAACATCCTTGTCCTATATAAATACACATCGCTTCATTTAATTTAATTTGTTAAAATAGGGAGTGCATTCTCATATTCTTTATTTTGATCCAAAGATTCGTTGACGTCTATCTAAAGTAAATCTTATATTCTATGCATAAAATTACTCTTTTCCTTTCTTATAATTCCAATAAAAGTTTTCATAACCAAACAGCACAAAAGAAATCGTATTTCCAACAGCTTTTTACGGTTTCCCCACTTTCAGTGCAATTTCTTCAGTTGTCGTCAATTCGTGTGGTTGTCGTCAAATCATCGTTTAGTTATCGTCGAGTTGTCGTCTCGTTATCGCCCGGCCTGCAGCCGATGTGCTTTGTTCGACGATTGTTCATTGAAACTGAATCGGGTTCCTTTTTAAAATTATTATTCTGCTTTGATGACGTGAATTGGCAGATTTTGTATTAAATTCAACAGTGCCGCTAATATGTTGAAGTAAAGTAAAAGAGAAACTATCTAATAAAAGTGTCAAGTTTAGTGTGTTCATTGTGTTGAGTTTAATTGGTTCTTGCCTGGTAAATGAAATCTTTGTGCAGTCATAAAGTGCAAACGTATAAACGAAGCGTCAAGAACATTGATCGACTTAAGCAAATAAACGTCGACTCTATAATTAGTGTTTTATAAAAACATGTGAAAGGACAAATTCGGCAAACGCTCGTCGCGCCAATTAGGCGTTACGCGGATTTATCGCATGCGTGCGAGTCTAGGGTTGTCACTACCTTTTTACTACAGCTTAATAACGAAATCATTAAGAAAGAAATGGAGTCGGAATTGATTAAAAAGGTTATTTTCAAAATAGCTTTTTTGGTGTGGTTTACTACTTTATCATCCGCCACTCTACCTATTATTGGATATAGACCTCCCGTTGTTTGTGTCATCCAATACGAGCTTGAACTAGTCTCACCCATTGTCCGCGACTTTGACGATGTCATCTATCCATCGCACTACAGGACGGTCTACGTTTCTATAACAATTTGGTTACCATTCAGTTATAGCCTTACTACACCATGGTTCGCAATATATCCTACCCAATAGAGATCCATTATACGATCTCCTACGTCTGAGACCTTGCGTCTCCGGATTTCAGAATTCGAAACTCGGTTTATAAGTTGCTTTTAAAGTTTATCAGCTTCTTTGTGTATAATATGTTATATGAAATCATTTATGCTGTGAACAACCTTCGTATTGGCAACATTTATATTACGCTTAAATTAATTTGGCAACCCTGTCCATTCGATTTATGGACTCAGACGCACGAAACTCGCCTGACAGATTGAGATCGATCCGCCCACAATTTATTTCACTCGAAGATTTTGTTGAGTGGAAAAAGGAAAGGACCAACAATTGGACGTCTTTTGACTAAACTTTCTGTTTTTTATTTGGGTGCCCACGATCGATACTGCGGGGACGGTTAAGCCTGATGCACACAAGAGGTCAGCCTGTAACGTTTATTATTTTATCAAGAAACGTGCAGGTATTGATGTGTTGTAATTATTGTTTTCACGTGTGTCTCGGTTTTTGCCCTACTTTTTATTTCGAACGTTGGTCATAAGCCTCGTGAAGCATAATTCACCATATGATGATAAGAGCATATGTGTTGCGTGACCACGAGTTAACTGAGTGAGAACTATGTTTTTAATTTTAACAGGAACTTTCAGTGTATTGTAATCTACAGTTGATCTTACAGAGGCTTCCAGAAATATAAGAAATATATCATATACCGCCTACAAATAGTATGTAATCATATGCAAACTTACTGTTTGTCACTCACCGAGTGCAATATAAATAGTAATAAGTAATAACACAATCGAAGAGTTGCGAAAGCGTCTACTTATCACCGATAACATCTGTATTAGCTACCATCTGCTTTTGATTGATCTGGCGATAACTTTGACATGTTAGCCTACTGATAAAAAAGCTTGACTGGAAATCGCTATCGGTTCAGGTTTTTTTTTTTGCTTTATAAACATTAAGAAGTTGATGCCAGTAAACAACATTTTAAACTGGCTGTCTATCAAAGGTAATGCGAACTAAGTAAGTTTAATACAGCTCGATTTTGATGTTTTATGAACTTCTCAACCAATTAAAATAAAGCATTTAAATCCGTGGTAGCCTAATGGTTTGACCGACTGCCTCTCAAGCAGAAGATCGTAGGTTCGAATCCGGGCTCGCACCTCTGAGTTTCTCGGAATTTATGTGCGAAATTTGTCATGAGCTTTTCGGTGAAGGAAAACATCGTGATGAAGCCTGCACGTCGAAGAAGGTTCACAACCCTCAGAAAACGAGTGAAGTCGCCAACCCGCTTTGGGCCAGCGTGGCGGACTATGGCCTAAACCCTCGTCTGAAAGAAGACCCGTGCCCGGCAGTGGGACATATAAATGGGTTGATGATGATGAACTAAATCGGTGAAAAAAATTTCATATAAGATGTCGATGATTTCCTAGGATTTTAATTAGTAAGTTACAGTACTGTTAGGTACTTTGTGAAAGTTTTAGTGTCCTGCATGACGACGAATGTTCACCCTTGGGAACATGTGAAGTCCAACACCCGTATTAGGCCAGAGTGGAGTGGGTATGGCCTAAATCCTCTCCTTAGGGGAAGTTCGTAGCCAGTAGTGCAGTGTATAATGATGTTGATCATTTTAAAAGAGCTAGTAGGGTTAATTTTACCAAGATTTAACAAATGCGATATTTTTAGTTTACGTTATTCAGAAACCGTAACAACATCCGGTGAAAGGCGTCATCCACCTTAACCAGCAGACCCATTTTCAATGACCCGATAAGATCGCGATTAATACCGTCTTTCCGTTTCGTTAACATCCTCAATTGTCATCTGTATCGCAATCGATTATCAAGTAAATCGGTTAAACCGAGAATTTTGATGATTTCACCAATCTATTGTTTCTTTTGTTCGACCTTTGAAAACAGCCATGTCATGTTCTTGTCTTTCAATTTAAATTTAACATTTGAATCAAGAATAACGTGCTAATAACTTGCTGGAGGGAATTGAACAACAAACAGCGACGAATAGCAAAGCGGATTGGACTTTGGGTGCTTTCAGAAACACATACCGGTCGTTCCTTTGATCGAGTTCATCCGTTTGCGTTTTGGACGCAATGCACCGCCTGGGGCCTGACTGGCTGATGTTGCGCATCTCTGCCGTCACCGGATTGACACGCTGCGTTTTAATCAATTAGCGAACAGAAACGCGGTTTTCGAACCAGTGGGCAGTGAAATAAGCGGACCACACGCCACCGTGGTTTTCGGACGCGCTCTCGGGTTTCAAAATTTCTTTTATTTTAGTACGGCCGTTTTTTAAACGGGATAACTTCATAATCGAAGCGAAAGTTCGGCTTTGTTTTACAGTTCGAAGATTTCACTCTGGCCAGATTAGATTAAATTCGATATTATAAAAACGTTTTTGTTTTTGATGGCCGTTGTCAATAATGGAAAAGAGGACACCAAATTAAATTTAAGTTGAACGAATAATGTATCGTCCATTTGGTTAAGACTCATCGAAGGTCCCAACTATCAGTCATAGGATTAGATTATTGTTGACCTAAACATATTACGCTACAAAGAGACGCGCGAAATGATTAAAAAAATATTAAAAAGACTTCCAAAATTTTTATCAAATTGACGGATCGCTTAACCTCGGCACATCATCAAAAAACTTTATGTCTATCAAGCCGATTCCTTTTATCGATTAAACCGCCGCCTTTATCATTCGATTTATCCTGTTGAATTATGTGAATCGATATCTTTGAATAATTGATCCGACCGATGACTAAATGCAATCAATCAATCATTAATCATGATCTATGTTTGCGCAACGTTTGTTTCCAGCGCTGGCCCCGTTTTGGGTAATTTTCCTGTTTTTATCATGGCAATATCAGTGTCTATCGACTTTATTTATTACATTGATGATTGAACGATAGCAATAAGCGACAGTCGCTTCGTTTTTAATTCAACCTAGATATGGTTTTAAGCTGTCGGTGCTATCATGATGTATTTGTTCGTTTGTTTTAAGCGATCAGTTTCGGTGTCTTATTGGTCTTCGGTAAGCTTTCGATTTTGTTTGCAGTAATTTTATTTGATGCACCGCTGGCTTCTTTACATTACCGTACTCATCGATTTGTGTCTGATAAGAAAGTGTCAAAATTTTAAAATCAAACCCTGTAAACATATTTTCCTGAAAGTCCAATCTATCTTTGTAATTTAACACAAAATACTTTTTACCTTTCTTTGCAGCCAACTACCTAATAACTTGTATACTGTTCAGGAAACCTTCTTTAGACCAAAGTAGCTAGTAAATAAGTAAGGCTCATTAGTACTCAAACGATTTAATGTTTATTTAAAGTTACCCAGCTTTGTATCAAGGACAAGAGCAGGCTTTCTGAACAGTGCATAGGTTAATAGGTAGCAGACTGCAAACATTTAAATGCATTATCTAGCTATAAGCTTCAGGGTTTGTATTAATTTTTGTTTTTTTTTGTCCACAGAAGAAGCAACAAGCCCCGAAGGCGGAGTGAAGGAGCGAAGCAGCTTGGAGCGCGGGGAGCGCGAGGGGGGCGACTCTCCCGCGTCCCCCGCATCCCGCGCGTCTCCGGCGCCAGACGAGCGTGATGACATCGAACACAGTATACCAGCTACGCTGATTCAGGACCCTAATGCTGAAAGGTACCAGTCTCCTTGGTTTTTTGTCAATGCATAGATTAAGTTCTCTGCAAGGAACTTTTCCTATTTTCATTTTCTTTCGTTTCTCATTTAAACATTAGTTATTTTCATTATTAGCCTATCGCAGTCCACGGCTGTGCACAGGTCTCTCCCAATGTGCACCATTTTGCCCCGTCCTCAGCTGAAGGAAGACAAATGCTATTTGTCAACATTGATTTGTGTAGTTTTTCAATACCACTAGCGTAAATTTTAAGTTTACTATCACTGTTTCTATGAATGACTCCAAATTACCCTGTCACACAGTTACCAAACCAAGTCAATAGGCAAATATCAGGAAACAATCCGAAACTCAAAGTCCTAATGCGGACAAAGGCATCAACACGATCTCAACACGTCCGCGTTGTATTGTCCACTTGACGGTGGTCCGGACATCACTCCGCGGTGTCCACTTTAACGACCCCATTGTTTCCTATGATCAGTTGTCAACTGCTGTCCTCGGTCACAACTTCCAGTCAAAACCAAAACTCCAAGACCCACGACTTTGAAATTGTAGTTAGTTGCGGTTTGAGGATTGGGATGAGTCAAAGGTCTTTCGTCATTGGAGGTTTCAGAGAAATGAATGGACATTCGATAGTGACAGTTGTAGTAGGTAGAGCCACTAAAAATGATCCGGAATTTCTCAGTTGACGGTCCATCAATTTTTGTTCTGCATGACTGAGTGCCTTTAACTTTATATTAATGTTCGACGAGTTTAAAGTTACTTGGGTGGCGAAAAATGACCAATATAACGATACAATGTATAGAGAAAGTAAAGAGATGTCGTATTTTATTAAGTACACGGACATAAAAAGGATATAAAAAGTTTTATACCTGACTAAAAAAGCACCAAATATCACATTGATTTCTCAATGATTTATATCGACGACAATGTAAATGGAGGTGCCATTGTTCAATTGGAATGGTTCAAAGAGATCGTGTTACAAACATAGCACTTGCCAGACGATTATTAAAAATCACAGTGATCAGAGATGGTATAATATAGTCAGATATATTTATGTTATAAGATGGTGATGTAAAACATATTGGATATATCTCTCTTGTTTTCGAAAGGGCAAAATCTGTCGGCAAAAATAGAAATTTTTATTCTGAATTTTTTTATTGTTCATTTAACAAAACCGTCCATCGATCTATTGATTACTACCAATTATCACCTGTCCATAAAAGGGGATTATGGGGCTAATCCAACATATTAATTATTTTTAAGTAGACAGAAATCCTTGACAAGAAAATTAATGAGAATCCGGCATTTATTATTTGTGATAAGTTTTGATTCGGCAGCCATCAAGATATAAATCTGTAAATACCGAAAATCGTCTAAATATAATGTTGATTCACTCATTTTGTTTATTACAATGATTTTTGAGATTCTTGTCTGACATGCGTGCTGTATTATTTGGTTGTCGAGGTGTTCTTTATGATAGGTCATGTAACGTCAAACAATAATGCTTTATTGGTTCTAGAATGCTTTGATCATATCAAGTCAATGCATGTATAATTTCCATAACGTAAACTAAAAGCTAATACTACTAGTACTTATGTATGTAAACAACAATTTTGTAGTTTGTGATGGTAGAAATTTTTTTTTTTTTCTCTTTTTAATGCCGAATTTACCTGATACCAGTCGGTTTCTTATTAAAGACTTTTATCCTTCATTGTAATCTGTTTTCTTATCGAATTCGTCAAGTATCACTTATGTTTTTGTCAAAGTTTGTTCACTTTAATATGAATCTTCACTTTAACAATCACTCATAATTTATGTTAATGTATGTACGTACTTACAAACATATTAATCGACTGCATTGTCTTGGAAAAGGCCATTGAGGTATTAATTTTATTTTATTAGTTTGGCATTTTCTCACTTGTCTTTAATTTATATCTCTATATTTGTTCAAATGTTTTCATCTGGAAAAATCGTATCATTCCTTAAGAATTCAAGCGCTAAAGGTAAAAGTCGCTTGTCTAAATTGAAACTCGGTCAATTTACCTTTGTCAAATCAAAAATTTAAAATTTGTAACATTGTTTTTCTTTATTTATTCACATGCTACATTCATAGCTTTGTCTTCAAATTCTACGCAGTTGCGCGTTAATTCAACGTCCTAATTAATTGGACATGGCATAAAATCTGTTTCTCCAAAAAAGTTTATCTACGTCCGGTGCGAGTTCTGTCGTGTCTTTTCTGGTTTTATTTGTGGGATCTTCAACCTTCAAGTGTTGAGTTTAAGGTTTGTAAAGGTAAATAATGTGAAATATTAGTGTTTGTCCGTGCGCTGTTCCATCACTGTCAATTAGGTGCTGTGAGGAGACGTCATCAATCATAGAACATTCTCTGCAGAGCTTTCCATCCTGAGGGTCTATTGTTTAGATTTTGGATCTGAGTTTGCCTTTACAATAGTACTTTGTTTTTTATCATGTTTATCAAAATGTTATATGTCTTGAGGATATCAATTCGTTCGGCTCTACATAGTCAGTGGTAGACTTATTAGGGTTTCTAGTGGTGATATATTCCGTACAATAAGACGTTTAACGTTTATCGTGCTTTTGTAGTACCATAAAAGATATACTTTTAAGCTGCTCCCTAAAAAAATATATATAAGTATTTTTTATGCCAGCAAAATTTCAAATTATTTGAATATGTTTGTAGATAGATGAATAATATTGCTAAGCGTTGTCGATTTTACACAGAATTTGCCGTTAAACCTCATAGGTAATCAATGCAAGATATAATAATTATTACCTTGGCATAGTTATGAAAAGAATATGTCATTGTTAATTAATTTTTAAATATGAGAATTAAAATTTAGGTCTAATACGATTGCATTTGCTAGTATATGTCGTTAATCCATTATTATACGTGTATTATGGCTTAGTACTAGGCGAGAAGAGCCCCTTGTTTTCCGGTTTTGGGCTGAATCAGATCGGTCCATTGAAAAGGAATTAAAATCATCCCGATATCGCTAGCGAGATCTGCCGCGTCTCCGATTTGGATTCTGGGGCTTCCACTTCGTGATCGTCTTTCCCCGCAATTCCCTCTGCATGCGACAGATCTATCATACTTATTTTACTGCCTAGCCTAAACCAGTGTGTACCCATATTCTGAAAACTGCTAATTTGTTCAAATAGGTAACAATGACTGAAAAATATTTGCAGAGTCTGCTGATCAGAAACCCTTGTGTCTTTTATGAAAATCACTGTTTCAAGTGTCACTCATACTACACCACCAGATCAATGTTCAAAACTTAAAATCCCTCACTGCTTTTTTGAGTTGAGCGCTCGAAGTACTGTTTAAAAAGAAACCTTATACTTAACATACAATCTGCGTGGATAGAAAAATATAAGTGCGGAACGTTTTTTGGCTATGACACAACACCCAAGTCGGGTTATTTCCGATCGCGTGCATGTAGTGTGGGGGAAAGAGAGCACAATACCTGTCACATAAACACAAGTGATTGATTGACCCGCACCCGACTAATGCTTATAGGAAGCCATAAACAGCTGGCGATTTTGTTGGAAGTTTCTAAAAAGTTAGTTTTGTAAACGTGCACTTGTGGGTCATATTTTTGTCAAATCACCATAGCTACAGTATAAATGGAAATAATAGATGAAATTTGGTTTTTGAATTGCTAATAGCGTCTTAATGCTAAGTAGGTGATTTTTGGAATCGCAATTTAATGTGCCTTGTTTTTTCTGAACTAATTGAGAACGATTTAAATTCAGCTGTCGGCTTTTGTCTTTTGTACATTTAGACGATGTCCTGGCAATGAAAGCGTTTCGTTATCTTTCTTATCGGATTCTTACCCGCATTTTCTGCCATGTGACACATATTGTCGTTCGAGAAGTTTATCCTACCTTTCCCCAGTGAAAATAAATAAACCCAAGATTATTTTCCTTTGTCAAAGCAAGGAAATCTGTTCATGATACACGTAAATCCATCCGCGTCCCCTGTCTGTCCCTGTGTTGTTAAAAGGACTCGTCTCGGCGTTTTGTTAACGCGCCATTTCCTTGTCAACGCCGTCAACCCCGTCCGGGTAATCTTCAATAAGCCCTCGAGACTTCCATTTCGGACCAATAGTGCCTACGACATGTGTAAACACATCGCTCAGTTAGCGCAAATCGAATTCCATCGTAAATAGACTAGTTAAAAAGATGTAACGACGATTGGTCCTCAAGGCTTTTTTGAACATCTTTCATTGGCGTTACAACGGTGAGTCAGCTCTGCAGAGTAGCTTGCGCTGTCAGGCGGCTGTCATCAAAACGATCGCCCGTCACTGCACGTCCACCTCGCGCATCGCACGCACGCTTGCATTACGCAGCGCACCACCCCTCGAAGTAGTTTACAGACAGCCGTCTCGTTCTTTCTCGTTTCTGCGTCTGTTAGCGCAGCACCTGTCTCTTTCTCACGGGAGGCGAGCGGGGCGGGGGCGCTGCAGGCGGGTCGTAAATCACGTCGCGTCTCATTCCACGCGGGACCGCCGCCGCCGCCGCAGGCACCGCGCACTTCCCTCTCGACCGCCAGCCTCGCGGCGCGTCTTTCGCGACGTGTTTACATTTTCAACTGTTTTTTGGGAAGTCTCCAGTTGTATTGTTAAATTGTGTTTCTTGCTACAAGTGTTATTTGATGGATCCACGGTTCTTTCGAGGCGCTGCTTTTCGGATACTTTGAAAAGATTGCGTCCAAAATGATCGTCGAACCCGACCATATGAGGTATGTGTCTGATTTGTTCAAGTGTTACATTGTCTTTGAGACAGTTATTACGTTTTCTATTGATTTATTTTCTATTGGCTGTTCAATTACCTTTGTGTTCAATTCAACACTTTATTTGTAATTTTTGTCGACTTTACTAACTTCAGACGTCTATCCAGTAGGTTGTCTGTAAAAGTCTTCAAGTTCGTGACTAGAATTCTTTATCAGTTTCGTTTTTCGTCTTTATTTTACAGTGATGGTTTCAATTCATGTGGTTTTCTATAAATTTAGGATAATACCTGATAGTTCTATATAGTTGTTCTCATCGTATAAGATACTGTATTTGAACCTCTTTTACACTTTATAAGATCAACATTTTTGTAAATTGATCACGAAAACGACGGAAGGAAACTTCAACAGAAAGTTAGTTGGTAGTTTCGTATGTATTTTCTAACTCAAAATATATCCTAAAAACTTTGCCAGACGCATTTCTAACTAGGTATTTACCTATTTATTTGTATTTAATCTTTATTTCTCTTTTTATTTGCCTCGTTTATGTATTTTAACATGAAAACGGTGTCAATTAAATTTATGATCTCATAAATATTGATAAAAAAATTTCACCCACATAGACTGACACACAGATATTGTTGTAATTAATCAGCGATTACAATAAAGTGTCCGGGAATTTGTGAAATATTTAAAGCATTTGAACTTTATTGATCGGAATTAGGTTATTGATTAATTGTGTGATAATGTCTTTATTGATGACAACCCTATAGGTTCAGTTCGCATTCGTATTTTGCTATTGTTATTAACTTATTAATCCCGATGAACAAATTCAATATTTAACTACGAACAAACAAACACCTTTATAATACACTATAATTAAGTTTTGTGAAAATATATTCAAACTATACCCATTGATTTTTTACCACAAAATCGTTATACAAAATAATCAACCAAAATAAAATATATGAATTATACAAAACATTGGCTGTACCCAATTAGCAGTACGCCATGTCCATTATTTACGACAACGATATTATTGATTGTCAAAATAAATAAAAAGTTTTCAATCGAAGTTTGTTTACGCCCAATATTCAAATGCCGGTAACCGGTTTACGTAGCGCCCGGGCCGGAGTGAGACAGGTGACTTTTTGTCATAAGTCAATTAGTTCTGTCTAACGCTGAGTTTGTTCGTCCCCAGGGAGAGCCCGAGATGTCTGTCACGGGAGTCGTCGGGTGCGCCGCGCTGTCCTTCCAATGACTCGGTGTACTCGGGCCGCAGCGGGCCGGCGCTGCCCCTCCCTGCAGCGCTGACGGCCGCCCTCCCCGCTGCCCTGCCCGCCGCTTTGTTGCCTCCGCACTCTGCAGCCGTGGCAGCTTACCTCGGTGCCGCCGCAGCTGCTGCCGCGCAACAACGACTCCTCATGTCCTGCCAGGAAGACATGACTGACTCCGAACGAGCGGACGCCGTACTAGACTTCAGCACAAAACGCAGCGACTCTCCACATGACGACGAGGATGTCGACGATGCCGTTAATCTAAGTAAGAATGAAAATGGCCCCCTCGATCTTTCAGTTGGTACGAGAAAAAGAGGACCGGAAGATTCACCGTCTCCGGTTCCGAGTAGAAAGAGTTCAAGGTCTTCAGATTTTAAACCTTCGCCATCACCTTGGACTAATCCTGTTGCACCACACTTGCCATATTTCGCAGCCGCTGTAGCAGCTAGTTTATCTCCAAAAAATGCCGTTCCTTCCGATTGGAACGGAAAGCTTAAACATGGTGGCCCTACTCCAAGCGATGCTACAAAGGCGCTCGAGAAAATGAGCGAATTAAGTCGATTGGGCGGTGAAGAACTTTTCCGTTCCGTACAAAGTGCAGCGTTAGGCGCAGGTCTCGCTCCAAACGCAGCAGCTCGCCACTCGGCTTGGCAATCACACTGGCTCAACAAAGGCGCCGACCAAACAAAAGATGTATTGAAATGCGTTTGGTGCAAGAAAAGCTTTAATTCTCTTGCTGATTTGACTGTACACATGAAAGAAGCTAAACACTGTGGAGTCAATGTACCTGTACCTCCAGTAACAGGAGCTCCAATACCACCTTCTCTTCAGCCGCCTTCTAGTTCGCCATCAACTCCATCACATAATTCTTCATCCTCTAGTAGCTCCTCGAAACCTCACCAGAGCGATCTTAATATGCTAATTAAGGAGAATATGCCAATCCCTCGGAAGTTAGTTCGTGGGCAGGATGTCTGGTTAGGTAAAGGCGCAGAACAGACTAGGCAAATACTGAAATGTATGTGGTGCGCTGAAAGCTTCCGATCTCTCGCTGAGATGACTAGCCACATGCAGCGAACTCAGCATTATACGAATATTATATCACAAGAGCAGATCATTTCGTGGAAAACCGCCGATGAAACTAAGGGCTCTAATTCTAGTACTCCAGGTGCTACTAACTCTGCGCCACCCACGACCGGCACAAGCAGTCATGTCAGCGCAGTTCTAACTTGTAAGGTTTGTGACCAAGCATTTAGTTCCTTGAAAGAGTTGAGTAATCATATGGTTAAAAATTCCCATTACAAAGAACATATTATGAGATCCATTACGGAAAGCGGTGGTAGGAGACGTCCAACTCGCGAAAAAAGAAAGAAATCTTTACCGGTTAGGAAATTACTCGAACTAGAGAGAGCACAGCACGAGTTCAAAAACGGCGAAGGTAATGGGGTTCCCATGGGGAAACCGATTAGGGACTTCGGTGCTGGTAGTCGGATCACTTGCGAGAAATGCGGGGACAAAATAGAGACTGCAGTATTCGTTGAGCACATACGTCAATGCATAGGCGGGCCTATGTCGAATAGCCAAAGGAATTTTTTGAAGAGCGCTCTTCTTTCAAATAACATTATTCCTCCTGAAGTACCTGGGCATGTCACTCCTACTAGCCGGGACGGTCGTAAAAGTATCAACGAGGAACTGCCTTCACCCGGCTCGGCCCATCGCTCGCCTTCCTCCGTGAATGATTCATCACCGAGTTCCAAAGATCCCAATGCGAGTAACGATGCTAAGAGTTCGTCACCTTCCGTTCTCAACGCTATAGAGCAGTTGATTGAAAAAAGTTTTGATACTAGGTCACGTCACCCTGTAGCAGGCATGCCAGGTGGAGCATCTCACGCTCCGCTCGGTTCTAGCATTTTGAAGCGGTTAGGCATAGACGAGAGTGTAGACTATACTAAGCCATTAGTAGACCCTCAAACCATGAGCATGTTACGGTATCATCAGCAGCAGGGGTATGGTCGCCGTGAACGTAGCGGTAGCGAATCTAGCTCAATGTCTGAAAGGGGAGGAAGTAGAGTTGAATCTTTAACTCCCGATAGGAAGTTAGACTCGTATCACATGACTCCGCGAACCACTCCCGATACGCGTGGCTCCCATACGCCTGCTTCTGATGACCGTCACACTGAAGTGCGGATAAAGAAAGAAGCTCCCGAAGACGATGATCGCGAGAATGGGGTAGATTTGAGTAGTCAGCCTGTAAGGGTCAAAACTGAAGTAGATGAAGAGGATGAACCTCATCGACCAAACAGTACTGCCGAGGAAGACACTAAGCCAGCCGTTCCTAAACGTGAGAGTGAAGGTCCAAGCCCCGCTGCTAGTCCACGTAGCCCCGCTAGCGACCGTTCCGGCCACACGCCCGTCGCTGATAGGAAGCCTACTTCGAGCTTAGGTGCACTATCCTCCATGTTCGATAATTTGGCCGGTGGTGGCTCTTCCGGTGAGCCTAGTTCTTCGCGTCGCGCTGGTAGTCACCCTTTAGCTGCTTTGCAGAAACTTTGCGATAAAACTGAGACGAATCCATCCCGCGCTCCCGCCCCGGCCCCTTCACCCGCCGGTCCCCCGAGCATTTTAACTTTCAGCTGGGCTTGTAACGATGCCGTCGTCACTGACTCTATTATGAAGTGTGCACTTTGCGATACTCCGTTCATATCTAAGGGCGCCTATAGACATCATTTGTCAAAGATGCATTTCGTTAAGGACGGTGCGCTGCCGGATCCGGTTCCGATGAAGGCGCCGCCGCCGGCTGCCTCCCCGGGCACTCACAAGAGCGGTGGTTCAAACGCAGCGTCCCCTCAGGACCCCCGGAGCCCTTCGCAGTCCTTCGACGAGAGCCCGCACTCCAAGTTCCTCAAGTACACCGAACTTGCGAAGCAGCTCTCCAGCAAATACGTGTAGACTGTACATAGGGTCGGTGAGGCCATCAGTTGTGATGATACCATATCCTGCTACATTAAACCTTGCTAGGGTTAGGTCGCGCACGCGACGTTAAGTATTTCGAAACTCTTTGCCAATTTAATTATTTAGGTAATTATTGTTAGAGTTCACCGCATAGTTCGGTTAGTGTAATTAACGACTAGCGACTTAAGTATACGCCAAACGTTTTACGTTCGTTAGAAGTAAGAGAATATTTTCAAAATATTGCCTTTAGGTGAAGTTGATTGGTTGTTGTGCGGCGCGCGGCCGTGGCTTATCTTCCACACTACATTGTAATTCCATTTCGATAATTGTAAATATAAGTCACATTAAGTCATAAAATGTTCGATTCGATCTCTTGTAAATGTATATTTTTTGCTAATAATCTACGCTCGCTCGTATGTGATTGGCGTCGAGCACGCGACTCGGTCGGGTCGCCCGCAGTACCCGTGGAATTCGTTGCAATATCATTTGTGTTACTTAATCTTGTTTTGTGTAAATCAGAGTTAGGGTTAATTTGGTTTCTTAGTTTATTTCTATGTATATTTTGAATGTATTCTTCTTGTTTTCTCGTGACATAAAGATCCGTCGCCTGTAATCTCGGAGATCCAATCTCATTGAATCAGTTCTTGTACATACAGTTGGATTTAAATGCAATATTATACAATCTCCTTAGTGTAAATTCGCTCTAGGTACGCTCTCCTCTCTGAGGATGCTATTTATTATTTAGTAATAAGTACATTAATATTAGGAGACATAACGTCTGTGAAACCTTGTATACCATTCAGCGCTATAGGTTGGAGGTCAACCGTGTATTTAAATAAAGTGATACGTTATACATTTTTTCTTTGAAAAGGATCGACTACATTCGTATACGTTTAGGACTTCAAGATTTGAATGAAATATCTTCCATTTGCAACATCAGATATACGACGATGTATATACGGTACTTGCGAGTGAAAACCCCTTTTATATTTAATAAAAATATTGTAAACTGTTTAATAAGTAAGTTTCAGACGATATCAACAATTTCGTAATGTATATTCTTAGTACATTTGGTTCACTGTATACGGATATATGTATATGTGCCTATATTTTTGTACACTATACCATAGTTTATTAAGAATGGTATGGTAACTTCATACAAACAGCAGGGCGGCTTGTATATGTGCGCGCCCACCGCGTGCCGTGTACGGACGCACATATTCGCTTAATTCGCGATGCACTCGCGCTTCACATTATTATAGTGCGCGTGCGCTATTTGTATGGAGTAACTATATTTTACAGTTTTAATGTGTACACATCTTTTGTTATACATTAAAACTGCTCTTTCATACGACCGAAGGTATACGTTTTGTAAAACTAAATTTTAATATTAATTTTGTCCTTGTAACATTCAGGATTTTACAAAAAAGGTTTAGCTGAACTTCACGAACATAATCCACCCTATAGTTTTAAAAATACATGTGTTTAAACTTACTTCAAATTTAACAAAGTTTTTTCTGGAGTTACTAACCGTTTTGTAATGTCCTCGGCCAGTGTACTAAGAATACATGTATTAATGCTAATAAAAAATCAAAATTTTAAATCAATAACTATCATTTTAACTATAATGAAAAACATACGACAAATATTATGTATACGCCCAGCTCTGACGAGAAAATTTTTGCTCATTCTTGAAAAATTAAAAAAAAAATGGTGTTAAAATATTGATTTTACCAAATTTAATAATCTTATTTAATATTTTATGTTGTATTTCAAAATGCAATTAAAAGCTCAAAGAAATATATATGTTACATACTTTACAAACGGTATTTTATTTATTACTTTCCCAATTTAAATATTGTAAGATAGAAAATCACTAACGACACTTCGTCTACAATACAAACGGACAAACTACAACTTTCCCGAAAAATTATAATTTACGTCCAATCATGCTAAATGGAAAACCTTATCACAGTGGTAGAGAGGTTGATATCGCACACAAACTCATACAAATATGTATGTTTAGTCCATTACGTATTCTAGAGACACAGTGTCCCTATCGGATTTCGTACTGTAGTATCCTAGATCCACACGATGCCTGTAACACGCAACTATATTCACCCATCACTTTGAAAAAAAAAATTGTTTATTTTTTCGTTTATCTCAGTGCAGAGTATTAAAAACCGACGTCAAAAGTCATTCATCCCCTAGTTTGCCACCTTTGGAGGTGGGATTTTTTCAAATTTAAATGGGACCTCGTCTGAGGTACCCTCTTTCTAATAAAAAAAGAATCATCAAAATCGGTTCACAGATTTAGTTGAGTTATCGCGTAACATACAAAAAAAATAGAGTCAAATTGAGAATCTCTTCCTTTTTTGAAGTCGGTTAAAGTTTAAATTTTTTTTAACGAAGCGTGCTTGATTAACTTAAAAAAAATATTAAAAAAAAAGATTTTTGTCATGTGAGTGTGACATAATTACACTTTCATATTTTGAACTGCCTCTGTGGTCGAAGGATTACCATTCCGGACTGCCACGTAGAGGTCCCAGGTTCGATTCCCGGGCCGGGAGAAATATTTCTATGGCCTACATTTATTTCTCTCGTGAGGGGTGTAATTTGTGGTTGCCTATGTGTATGTCCATGGCACCCGCGACACAGGGTTTCCCTAGTGCGGGGCTATGTGCTGCGAGCGGTGTATATTTTTCGCTTTACAATTTTATTATGTTGTCAACGTATTTTCGTTCGCTCTGGAAGCAAACTGACCTATTACACAATATTAAAAACTTGAGACCATTTTAGTGAACAGCAAAAAGAGCCTAGGTACTAATTATGTAGTGTGCTTCTATATTAACTAAAGTACTGGAAGTGTAAAAAGTAACTGTATTGAATTTTTTACGATATAAAGTGACGGGACGAACATGTCGTGCGCCTGGTGGTAAGCGACACTCCTGTGCATAACAGTGGCAGTGCCACTCAGAGCTTTAAATTGCAAAGATGTAACCGGTATGAACAATTTGAGAAACGGAATTTCCTAAATTGGTTCTGGTCACGGTGTTTGTAGTTCTGTGGAATGAATACCTTTGTTTGAGATAGGGTACATTTACCTTATCTACTTCTGCCGATAAGCAGTAATGCGTGCATTACTACGTTTTGGTAAGGGTGCTGGTGAATAGCGTGACGGGATCTTGGGAATTTAAATATTTGGAGTGGCACTGTTACTGACATGGACAGGCGTCTCGCTGACGCACGAATTATTCGCCCTGTCACATAATATCATAAAAAAATCTATTGCTTTAAAAACGTTAAAATCTAGTCAAAATACACACACTCACACAAACACGTTTTTTTTTCACACATTTAAATTTTTTAGTTTTTTTAAAAGTATAATATCTAGTGATGGGATGAACAAGTCGTGCGCCTGATGGTAAGCTACGCGCCTGTCCATAACAGTTGCCACCCAGAGCTTTAAATCGCAAAGATCTGAGGGGCAATGCCACTGTGCCCGTCACCCTGGAACATATGATGACTAGTCCCATGTGCCTGAAATTACAGCAGCACCTCTTACCCTTCAAAACAGGAACACAGTAATGCTTGACGGCAGAAATACGTAAGGTGGCAGTACTACTCTGGACGAACTCTTAGTTTCGTAGTTGTTATATTTGTGGAGATAAATAAATACGTTAAAAGGCAATATTATCCAACAATATAAAACAAAAAAGAAAACAGAAATAAAAAAAAAACTGAAAACAAAATAAACTAAAAAGAAAATGACACAAATACACAACAAACCGCTATTACCTAACTAACAACGACACCAAACTAGCAACTGAAGTAGGTCATGGCTCAGTGTGAATTTTTTCAATTAGTTACCTACAGCTTCACCACCAAAGTGAGGATTTGTTAGTGCACTTTACAGTCAATGGCTGTGCAACGGGAAGTGAGCGTGCCCACAGCTTTGGTACCTACTTGGACAATAGGGAGGGCGCTGCACGTGCACCCGGGGCAGCTTATCCAAAGCACAAGCCATTTGAGAGCCGGTTGAAGTCCGTGCAAACGGGCTGATCTGGGTTTGGCCCGGGGGACTAGACGTAGGCTTGGGTTCCACCCGTATGTTGTGGATATTTCAAGCTTTTACATTTATATGGCGAACGGCCACGGAGCGGAATTCCCTGCTTGCAGACTTGTTCCCTGAATGTTATAACTTGGGCCTTTTCAAGGCGAGAATGAATAGGCATTATTTAGGTGTGCATGCTTCATCGTCGACATCATTATCACTTTCCATCAGGTGAGATAGAGGTCAAATGCACACTTACATTTTTATACAAAAAAATCTGACTGATAAGGGCCCTGTGCGGCTTGGCGAGCACAGGTTATGGTGCCCTTCCCGTATAGCTAAGAGGTTGATAGGGAACGTCCCTAAAACCGACCAGCGCGTGGTAACGCGGTTTGCTGTTTGCTGTATTTGTCGAATACCTTGTCACACGTGCTATCTACACATGGTAATTGTTTGCCAAATACACAAATAGCCATGTGAAGTGCAACTATTAGACAATTGAAGTTAAATGAAAAGCGGGATCTAATCAGGAAGGAACCTTATGCATTATTAATATAATCACTGCCTTAGCCACCTCCATCCTGCGAGCTTACAAAATGTCGTGAACAAAAATGTGCATCTTACAAATGTACATTATACTGTGACGTAAAAAATTCATTGTAGCCAAATTTTAAATTACAACCACTACGACATGTACGATGTAATCTCCGTAAGTATTTTTTTTCTTTATTCTTTTATATTGTGTTATTGATAACCCATAGTATATGGCTTTGTTACAAAATTGACCTATGCAGACATGTTAAAACATCTGTAACTAGTAGTAAATGTCAAGAAAGAATATTAAAAAATCATTCCAATTTTAGTTGACCTCGATGGCCTTTGTCAAAGTCGAAAGTCAAATAATCGTTTATTCCATAAGTAAAAGTCTTACACTTCAAAATGTAATTTTTTAAGCTACTGCTCGTTCACTGCGCTGACCTCCGAGAGAAGAACGAGCAATAAACTCAAGGGATTGCTCTTTTTCAAATAAACTTAATGGGTACACTTTGAATTATAATTGTGTGGAATCTAGACTCATGTTGTCTTTCCATACATCATATCTAGCACTGGAGCCGCCAGACCCAAAGTAGATGACGATCAGGAGCTGGACGACTCGTAAAATCAAAGACGATTTTAGTTAACTGTGTTATATTTTAAAATAGGTGACTGGTTAGTTACAAGAGTAGTGCCGTTAAATCGATACAGTGATAGTTTCTGAAGGGGTACAAAAGGTAAGTTTTAAAAGTGAACGGTCCTTTTGACCTTTTTAGTTACGTACAAAATTCGTTATAAATGTGCTAGGGATGAAAAAGACATATGTTGTGTTACTCGATTGGTTCAAAATAGGCCCACGTAATGTGCCCTTGACGAGCAGCGTTTTGTTACTGCTTTGGAAATTACGTTAAAATTACAAAAATTGTTGCGTTCGCAACAAGCACATATACTCTTTAATTTCGTATTAAGACTTTTCAACTAATATACATATGCTCCAGAATCTTATTGTAAAAACGTATACAGATTCTCATAAAAAGAATCGAAATCGTGGTACCATGAGTTTGGACTTAATTCGAAGGTTAATATTCTTAGTTGGAAGGATAATATCTTCTTTCTTGATGAAATTATGTATGTTTTTACGGGCATACGAAATATTTGAGTAAATGTACTGTGATGGCAAAGTCATGATACCAGTCTCCTTAAACTTGTCTCTGAGAGAAACCCGAGAACATAAAATACGTAAAAGTACGCAGAACGAATGGTTTATATATATGCCGCTTTACCCCTTTTGCACGCTGGTCGATGTTGTCCCGGGTTAGATTCCAAGTAGGACTAATTTCTTGTCTGGGTATTCTAGGTAGCCTTGGAGTGAATCTCGTTCCTCTGGTACTCATAGTACAAGGTATTTAATATTTTTAGACTAGGTAATTGATTGTGGCTGTATGGCAAATTATCAATATCAAATTTTAGAAAATCGGTATGGACTAATAAAACCTCTGTCCTGAAAAGTTGTAATTTTGCAGATATTACGTTATCACACCAAAGGTGCGAAATGACCGAATTGTTGTTTTGAACCCAACAATTGTAACACACTCCGGTTTAAATGTAGGTATCTGCCCATCAACATGTGTCATAGAACCACGAACGTTAATTACGCAGCCATAAAACCTGAAATCCCTCTAGAATCACTCAGCGACGTCTTAACTCCGACGAGACCTCGCCTTAATCACTATAATGACATCATTCATCGCTTGCCAACGTCACCGTTTTGACTATCACATCGCTTGCTATTCTATACATTGCTGGTTACTTAAAGATAGAATTTGTTCTGTTAAAAACGTCATCGTTACGTTCCTTTTTTGAATTCGATTTAAAAGAATGTTCTCGAATACTGGTGTTGTGGAAGACGAGTAAAAGAAGTGTGAAAGTACTTAATGAAGAATCTTTTACATGTACTTATTTTCGGAAGTTACTATATGTCTGCTTTGTTTTACAATGAATGTCACCAGCTAGCAGGCATGAGCTGCTAACTTAAGACCAGGAGGTAGCTTTCCCAAGATCTCCAGGTTTCATTATGAGCATCATTCGTTTGTGTAACATTAACCTATCACCAGCCAATTCTTGACTATGACTTTAGCGAGAGGTTTGTTGTTATTGTTCTAAAGTACGTTCTTCAATAAAACTCGGAGCAGATCCAGCAATGTATACGGTACTAAG